CAGCGGCTAAACCAGGACGCCGGGGGCAGAGCAGCTGGGATGCTGCTGGGTTGCTCCAGTAGCGCCTGTGCTGCCCCGCTGCCCGAGACCCTCCGCGGGTTTGCTCCGCGTCTTCCTGGTCTGCAGACCAGGGAGACGCGGAGAAAGCCCCGGAGTACACGGGCGGCAGGACCGCGAGGTCCCGCAGTCCATGTCCTCCCAGGGCAGCCCCGTTCGTAACTGCGGATCCGACATAAGTCGGATCCACGTAAGTCGGGGACTGCCTGTACAGCAACATCTTAGTCTAATATTAACTAAAATAGAGATGGTCAGTTGTACATGGACTTTCAGGATTCAACCATTAAGCATAATTTTTCTTCCTTTCTCTACTGATTCTTCATTATCCTTTATTGTCTTTCCTCTTAGTATCTGTCTCCTTATGAACTCAGTCTCATACAATTGCTGCTATGAGTGAACTGGCTTCTCTGAAGGACAGAAAATTTCCAGTCTGTTTCTACAGCCAGACCAAGTTGCCCATATGACGATGGTGTCTCCTTTTTTTTTTTTTTTTTTTTTTTTTAAGGAGGGAAAGGGGATCTGATGCAGTTCTTTGGCATTGCTCATTTGTATTGCATGTTGGGCCTCATCCTCTTTTTAAAGTCAAGGACAAAACTCCTTAATGACTCTAGTGACAGCAGGATTAGGCCAATATGGAATAAAGTGGTTCTCTATCTATGAACCATTAATGGTCCTGGAGTGCTTTCTGGCTGTCCCCATGATAAATTAAGTGGTAGGGAACTGAGGTGTCGGGAGTGTGAGTGGATCCATTAGAAAATTCTGAAGGAACAGTGTGTTCCAAGTGGGATGTTTGTGAGTTAATGGTATTAGAGGTGATAATTGGGGAAGCTATCTTGGTAATGGGTAAGATAGCTTGAGTGTTTGTTCATTCCTTTTTGGAGAGTGTCGAATTTTACCATGAATGACAGTTCAGAGGATTCCCTTTCAAGTGCAGATGTAAAAGGTCTTTGTAGCAGAAAGCAGGTGGTTAAGTGGAGAAAAGTTAGTGAGAGTTGGATTAGCCATCTCCAGCACTTTGCTTTCCAGAGTGAAGATGGATATTCTCCTTTTTGTCATAGGAAGAGCGAGTAAGAACAAAACATTTTTTAAATTGAAGTATGTTGTCTTATCAAAGCTGAAAGTCTTGTGGTAAGAGAGATGCATCTGTTTGGATTATATTTTGAAGGGCGAAGGTTTCTAGGATCCAGGGTAAGATCTCCAGAGAGAGCGAGACAACATAACCTGACCTGTCTGTTCCAAAAACAGATGTGTTGACCCTATTCCATTTTGATGCCGTTCTGTTTCACAAAAACACTTAGTTTGTTTTTATTCCAACACGGAACAAAAAACAAACCTTGAAAGTAATATTGGGATGTAGCAAATCAAACATAAGCAAGGAGCAGCTTTGCAGAATCTCTACCTATTGGCTTCCCCTAAGGCACTGTTTAGCAACAGCCAGACCAGGCAATCTCTTTATAAGCTTTGTCCCACAAGGACTCCTATCCTCTTTAGGGATGAATGGGTGATGCTCTATCACTCCTTGGCCTTTCTGCAGATGTTATTAATTCATTTATTTACCACACTCATTTCTAAAGAACTGATCACTGTAATAAGTGGGCACCATTCACACAATTTAGTTAATGCAACACTTCCCAGTGTCTTTTTGCTCTGTGCTCCATTTCAGCCACTGCTCTCCAGATTGTCAGTACTGTTGGTGCATTTTATCATGTGCCTCTCTGCACTAGGAATTAGCCTGAGACCTGCTCGTTTCTTCACATTGCCTGTTGGAATGCTGTTAACACAGTGATAGCTTTTGGCTACCTACAACCCAGGGCTGATTTGAATTAGTATCTTTGGAGTGAAAAAGCTCACTGCACTCACTACCAATTCCCTGTCTTGAAAGTGCTGCAAAGTGGAATTGTTCTCCAGACAGCTCTAGTCATGGGCACTAAAACAAACAAACAAAAGAACCCAACCCAATCCCAAAACAACAACAAAAAACGTATTTGTGATACCAACAGTAGCATTATAGAAGAATGCTGTCTTTCATAATTCAATTGGAACAGTGCGGATCCGACATAAGTCGGATCCGCGTAACTCGGGGGCTGCCTGTACTGTTGGTGCATTTTATCATGTGCGTCTCTCCACTAGGAATTGGCCTGAGACCTGCTCGTTTCTTCACATTGCCTGTTGGAATGCTGTTACACAGTGATAGCTTTTGGCTACCTACAACCCAGGGCTGACTTGAATTAGTATCCTTGGAGTGAAAAAGCTCACTGTACTCACTACCAATTCCCTGTCTTGAAAGTGCTGCAAAGTGGAATTGTTCTCTAGACAGCTCTAGTCATGGGCACTCAAACAAACAAACGAACAAAAGAACCCAACACAATCCCAAAACAACAACAAAAAATGGATTTGTGGTACCAACAGTAGCATTATAGAAGAATACTGTCTTTCATAATTCAATTGGAACAATCTGGGGCATCTGGCACTGGCCACTGTCGGCAGACAGGATACTGGGCTTTGGTCTAACCCAGTTATGTTCTTATACTTCTCTTCTTTATGCTTTGTCTACACTGCAGGCTTCTTGCGCAAGAAGCTTTTTGTGAAAAAGATCTTCCGCAAAAACTTCTTGCACAAGAGTATGTCCACACTCCAAAAGCGCATCGGAAAAGCAAAGCACTTTTGCGCAAGAGAGCATCCAGACTGCATGGATGCTCAAGTGCAAGAAAGCTCTGATTGCCATTAAGGAAGTGGAATTGTTCTCTAGACAGCTCTAGTCATGGGCACTCAAACAAACAAACGAACAAAAGAACCCAACACAATCCCAAAACAACAACAAAAAATGGATTTGTGGTACCAACAGTAGCATTATAGAAGAATACTGTCTTTCATAATTCAATTGGAACAGTTGATGTTGAGGTATCT